ACACACACACACACACACACACACACACACACACACACACACACAACTGCAAGCACTAGCTGTGACCAATAAAGTGCATGAAATTTGCTACAAAAGCCCACAATCACATTGAAATGAGGACTCTTTCTCTTGACACCTGTGCATCTAATTGTACACAGTGACCTTTACTGGAGTATTCTAAATGGCTTTCATAAATTTCCACGTCCAAATGTCAGGGCTAGAAGAACACAGCACATTCAAGGTGGCTTGTCATCTTCACTCTGTTCCATGAGGGACAATTACTTGGCTCAGACTATGGTAATTTTTCATGGTTCCAGGTGCCTAAAAAGTCTTATATAGCCTATATAAACAATTACACTCATTTTTGGGTGACAGGATGAACTATCTTTGGGTTGAACAGGCTAGGGAGAATGGGGCACAGATGCTACTTTAAAGGCAAAGTCCATCCAGAAGTCATGATTTGCATAGACAAGATAGAAATGCATATAAGTTTGGAACAACATGAGACAGTAAAAGATGACAATTTTCTATCCCTTAAGACGACACTTTTTTTTCCTCCATCATGACTGGGGCTCATGTGACTCCTGAATCACTACGGACAGTCCGTCCTTAACAAACTATGAATCAGAGAGCAAGCATAGTTTGCCCAAAATATAACAACAGAAACAATCAGGCCTGGGAAAGAAATTGCTAATTACTGGAACTGTGGTGCTCATCTGGGCGAAGAAGGTTTAAGTCTGACCTGCAACATAATTAATGCCTTCTTTTCTGTCCAAACTATTAGTCAAATTATGCAGAAAAAAAATTGAACAAATTTTTTTTCATTTACTTAATATAATAAGTGAAATACACAAAGTATTTTTGATCAGTGTCAAGTTTCAAAAGATTTTTTTTTTCCAAATATTCCAAATTCTCAAAAATGTAATTCATGTATTCAATAAATATTCATGTTGCTCTTAAAACCAGTCAACCCCCAATGTTACTTGCTACTGTAATTTAAAGCAGTCTTACTGAGCTGTGATGCTCATCTATGTGAGAAAGGTTTGAATCTGATTTGCAATGTCACAATACCTTCTTTTCTGTCCAATCTAATGACGCAAAAGCAAAACATAAAACTAGATATTTTCATTTCCTCAATATAAGAAGCACTTTTTTAATGAACACTGAAGTACTTTTATAAAAAGCCAGCTAGTGTTTTTGGTCCAGACTGCAGGTGCATGCTCAGGGTGGGCTGTTATTAGCAGCAGAGGGTGTGGTCTCATACTTTGGCCTTTTACTTTGCATGGGAAAACATTAGCCGTCCTGTCACAGGAGCCAATTTGGTGTGTGTCCTTCACTTTGTTTCAGCGTGTGTGTGTATGTGTGAAAGAGAGAGATGATGCACGCTAGATGGAGAAGAGTCAGCTTTGTCTGCTCTGGGCTGTCCATCACGCCTCAGTGTGTCGGTTTTGTGTGCACGTCAGACTGTGGTCTGATATCAAAGGCAGTAGGAAATGAGAATGGACTGTCTCTAACACCCAGCACAGCAGCCCCACGGGAAGCAGACACTATGCCACTAATTAGGCTTCAGACAGCAGAATCGTTTGTCAACGCACTATAGTATTGCTGTTTCCCACACACACACACACACACACCTGCACATCGTGACTTTCCTTACTGGCTGAGGAGAAAAGGAAGGGTGAAAGAGAGAAACGTAGTTCCAACCTTTTGTGTTTTTTCCCCTTTTCAGATATTTTTTTTTATCTATGGCTTATTTTTTGTATTTTTGGTTCGTTTCTGCGTAAAAAAACTAGAGGAACAATGAAAGAACTCTGCTAAAATCCTATGAGGCCCCCTGCTTTCACAAATACCTCTATGAATATTGTGTGGGGAAAAAAAGATTCAAATGTCTTGTGACAATCTATTATTGCGTTGAGATATATCACAGTTATTAAATGACAGGCATCTGCTGTGTTTCCCCTCTCCGGCTGCCCTGTGGTTCTGCCAATGAATGGAGATAAATGTGTCTAAAATTAACTAATAGTACCTTGATTAATTAATACTGTGTGTAAATTAAATTGACACACACACACAACCCTTCAAAAGTTTGGGGTCAAGTTTTAATATATTTTTGAAAGAAGTCTCTTATGCTCACCAAGGCTGCATTTATTTGAATGCAGTCTTCTTCACTGTCCCATGATTCTTCAGAAATCTTTCTAATATACTGATTTTCTGTTCAAGTAACATTACAATTTTGGAAACAGCTATGCTGCTTAATATTTTTGTGAAAAGCATGATATATTTATATATATATATA